ACGGCAGTTGTTAGAACCACGTTGGCCACAAGCATTACAATTAAAATATCTCACATTGAAGCACAGCCGCTGATGCCAAAGGTCTTCAGCCTCCACAGCTTGGTGTGGAGAGGGGCTCAGTGAGAGGCGAGTCACCAGCCGCTTGTCAAGATCTGAGTAACCTTAGAAAGGGTTGCGTTCAACTGAAAAGGCAATTCTGCACCTTGCACTGGAAACTCTTCAGGGACTGGGTTGTCTGTTGGCTGTTCGTGGCAACCCAGGTGCATACAAATCCTAGAACACTAGAACTGGAAGGGACCATGAGAGATCAGGTCCAGGCCCCTGCCCTCACAGCAGGACCAAGCACCGTCTAGACCATCCCTGACAGGTGTCTGTCCAACCTGCTCTAAAATATCTCCAGTGATGGAGATTCCACAACCTTCCTAGGCAATTTATTCCAGTGTTTTACCACCCTGACAGGTAGGAAGTTTTTCCTAATGTCCAACCTAAACCTCCCTCGCTGCAGTTTAAGCCCATTGCTTCTTGTCCTATCCTCAGAGGCCAAGAAAACAATTTTTCTCCCTCCTCCTTGTAACTCTCTTTTAGATAGTTGAAAACTGCTCGCACTAACTAAATAACTAAACAGTCCTCCATTCAGTGCTGGCCAAACACTGATAAAGTCTTTCACTTCCATGCTGAAATGGCTGCTCTCAGCCCATCAACCCTACCGCCCGCATGGTCAATGTGTGCGTGTGATGCATCTCCCCAATATATTAATGCAATGATGGGTCTAGTGTACAGCATGAAACTCAATAGCTAAAAGCAGAGCATGGGCAGCATAAAGAATGGGAAATGGCTAGGCATTTAAAAATGATTCTCAGCTATTAAACGTTTTCAATGTTGTTGCTCGGTTTTGTGGGGCGTGAACACACACACACACACACACACACACACACACACACAGTCTCGCTGTTTCGGGGTGTGAACACACACACAGTCTCGCTGTTTCTTCACCAATCTGACTTCTTGGTTGCTCAAGAGTTCCAAGTTTCAGCACAGAACGATCCATTTCTATTGAAGTACAAATTAAAAACAAAACCAACAGCAGCAGCTATGTAGAGAGAACACAAAGCTTAGAAATAAATGCCTTTTTCGCCCAGTAGGTGAGGTCAGACAAGTGTCCTGCACACAGGCCAAGCTAGTGGGGACCGAGCTGTTCTGCTTTCTGGCTGAAGTGCAACACGAGTTGAGGCCCTGGGGCATCACTAAACAGACAAGATTTTAATAAGAGTCCAAATCATCCAATGGGTGATCACTAGATGATTCCCTGTTCTCTTCATTCCCCCTGGGGCACCGGGCATTGGTCACTACGGGAAGGTAGGACATTGGGCTAAATGGACCTTTGGTCTCACCCACTCTGGCTGTTCTTATGCTCTTAAACTACCAAGGAAAGTGCTGGATTCTCCATCGGTTAGCGTCTTCAAAACAAGACTGGACGCCTTTATGAAAGACAGGCTGTAGTCTGAACACGTGATAGGGCTCAATACAGGGGTAACTCCATAAAGTTTAAAGCCCTGTGATCTACAAGTCAGACTTGATCTAACAGTTCCATCTGGCATTCGTAATCCAACCACAAGAAAGCATTAACAAAAAGCAAGGACGTGTTCTTTGGAGGCTACCAGAAATATGAACGACCAAGTCATTATTCGATTAAGACCCCAGACAGAACATGCAATAATTGCTGTTGTAATAGGTGCATACCTCTGCAGGATCGAGAATGCGGGCTTTTTCTTTCTGTGCATTACATAAACCTAAAACTAAATCCTAGCTCGCTGCAGGATCGAGAATGCGGGCTGTGTTTTCTTTCTGTGCACTACATAAACCTAAAACTAAATCCTAGCTCTGCTTGGTCATTTAGGGTTTCATAAAACTAAGATCATCAGCAGTGTAGATCCTAGTACTGCTAGGTGGGTGAGTGCTACAATATTCCACTAGACCAGTGTTTCTCAACCAGTGGTACGCGTGAGACGTCTGAGAGGTACAACAACTGAAATTTGGAAAAAAAACTGAATTTTTGTTTTAAGTTTCACAGTGCTTTATTATTTGAGTACTTTTTACACCCAAAAATTTCTTCACCACCCGAATACCATTAAGTTGTGTAAACAAATGTGTTGCAATGATAGAAAAAAAGTGTGTGTCTGAAAACTGTAGGTACCGGAGGTACTTATGATTTTTTTAAAGAGGTACTTAATTAAAAAAAATGGTTGAGAGACACGGCTTAGACAACCGTAAAACAAATTGTCCATTTAATTAACATCAGTCGCCAACCCTGAAACATTTTTTTTTAAAGAATTAGATTTTCAAAGTTGCTGCTATAGAGCAGATGGATTATTTTCATCACTATTTTATATTCTTGTCCATGGAACACAAGGACATTTTTCAACTGCACTTTTCATTGCACCACTCCCTGGCTAGACACAGGTACACATTGCAATGATAGGACGTCTCTCGCAAAGTCTCTGCTCCACAGGACATTAGATGTATAAAAATAAATAATGTAATAGCACAGTCCCAAGCAACTGCAGAGAAGCCTTCGATGAAAGATGAAAGAGATCTGCATCTGATGTGAGGTATGGACTGTAGCTTTTCCACGGACATTGGGTCAAGTCATAAGAGCGGCCAGACTGGGTGAGACCAAAGATCCATCTAGCCCAGTGTCCTGTCTGCCCACAGTGACCAATACCCGATGCCCCAGAGGGAGGGAACACAACAGGGCTGTGTCTGGACTAGCCAGTTTTTCCAGAAAATCAGCCGCTTTTCTGGAAAAACTTGCCAGCTGTCTACACTGGGCGCTTGAATTTCCGCAAAAGCACTGACTTCCTACTGTAAGAAATCAGTGCTTCTTGCGGAAATACTATGCTGCTCCCGTTCGGGCAAAAGTCCCTTTTGCGCAAAAGTTTTGCGCAAAAGGGCCAGTGTAGACAGCTCAGATTTGTTTTCCACAAAAAAGCCCTGATCGCGAAAATGGCGATCGGGGCTTTTTTTGCGGAAAAGCGCGTCTAGATTGGCCACGGACGCTTTTCTGCAAAAAGTGCTTTTGCGGAAAAGCATCTCGCAAAGTCTCTGCTCCACAGGACATTAGATGTATATAAATAAATAATGTAATAGCACAGTCCCAAGCAACATGAATAATCATCTCGGTCCATGTTTACTTTATGGGGGTGTCCATGCAATGCATTCCTCTGGCATATGAACCACCAGAGGCACACTGAGACTACTAGTAGAATAAACAAAACAGTGACTTAAGTCCTATTACGCTTTATAAACTGTGCTTCCAGATAACTCCCATAAGTTTGTTCCATCATAAAACAGCCTAGAGGAAGGCCATTAGTTTTAGAAGAATGGTAACAGACCAGATTCTGCTCCACTGGTGTAAGGCCATATCTACAATAGGGAACTTAATACAAGTATCCCCACCGATTGTCTATCTGGAGTTAGAGACAGCAGATCTACTGGAGATAAGGTTCTGGAAGCACTTGGTGTTTGTTAGCCTATGTCTACACTGCTGCAGAAAGTTAACCTCAGGTTTGCAGCTCCAGCCATATGAATAACATAGCTGGAGTCGATGTATCTTAGGTCGAGTTATCGCAGGGAGGAGATGGAAATACTCTCGTCAACTTATTCTTCTCGGCGGGAGTAGAACAGAGGCGTCAACTGCAGAGTGATCTGCGGTAGATCTGGGGGGTCTTCACAAGACCTTCTCAATCAACTGCCGGTGGATCGATGTCAGAGGCTAGATCCCCGCTGTAATGTAGCTGTAACCTTAGTTAAACCTTCTAACAACTACTCTGGTTGGAGGGATGTGGCCCTTAAACTTACCAATTTTACTTACAATACGTAGATCATATTCACTTCTACTTTCACGTACTTTAAAAAGCACCTTGCAAACGAATGCTGTAACTAATGTAGTTGTCCACCTGCGAATACACAGGTACATAATGCAACCGGCATTCTTACAGGCCAGGGATTGTGTGTGTGCGT